TGCACCTAACACAGGAGCATCAAAGTATATAAGGCAATTATTAACAAACCTAAAGAGAGAAATTAACAGCAACACAATAATAGTAGGGAACCTCAACACCCCACTTACATCAATGGATAGATGATCCAGACAGAAAATCATCAAAGAAATAGTGGACTTAAATGAAAAACTAGACAAGATGGACTTAATAGATATATAGAGAGAGAACACTCCATTCAGAAACAGCAGAATACACATTCTTCTCAAGTGCACATGGAAAATTCTCACAGATAGACCGTATGTTGGGAAATAAGGCAAGCCTCAATAAATTTAAGAAGATTGAAATCATATCAAGCATCTTTTCTGACCACAATGCTATGAAACTAGAAGTCAACTGCAAGAAAAAAGCTGGGAAAGTCACAAATATGTGAGGACTAAACAACATGCTACTGAACAACTAATGGATCAATGAAGAAATCAAAAGAGAAGTTAAAAGAAAACACTGGAGACAAATGAAAATACAACATACCAACTCTTATGAGACGCAGCAAAAGCAGTTGTAAGAGGGAAATTCATAGCAACACAGGCCCATCTCAACAAACAAGAAAAATCTCAAATAAGTAATCTGAAACTACACCTAATATAACTAGAAAAAGAAGAACAAACACAGCCTAAAGTCAGCAGAAGGAGGGAAATAATAAAAATTAGAGCAGAAATAAGTGAAATATAAACCAAAAAAATAGTAGAAACGATCAATGAAACAAAGAACTGGTTCTTTGAGAAGATAAACAAAGTTGACAAACCCTTAGCCAGACTCACCAAGAGAAAAAGAGAGAAAGCTCAAATAAATAAAATTAGGAGTGAAGGAGGAGAAATTTCAGCAGATACCACAGAAATACAAAGGATTATAAAAGAATACTATGAAAAACTATATGCCCACAAGTTGGCTAACCTAGAAGAAATGGATAAATTCTTAGACTTATACAACCTCCCAAAACTGAATCAAGAAATAGAGAATGTGAATAGACCAATCACCAGTAAAGAGATTGAAACAGTAATCAAAAACCTCCTAAAACGGTTTTACCAGTAAGGAAACTCATTTCAGGCAGGGTCAATAACATAAAAATTCAGTACAACTGCCATCTTGTCCCAGTGTTTCAGATTGCCCCCATGCCCAACAGCAGTGACACAGGCAGGTTATATATATCCTGGATGGAAAGGTGACCTATAGGTAAGGTCAACTACAGAGCTGGCTGGGGGATGGAGAACTCAAAAAGTCACCCTTGCTCCTTCCTTTCCTTCTTTAGGTGTAAGTGGGATGTGCCTTCGTAAGCTTCCTCTAACTTCTTTTTATCATAGTTTCAAAAACTGTCACTCATCCTATTGTAGGACTTCTTTTGAGGGTTCTGCACAGTTATGGTGGCAACGGGGATGCGGAGTAGCTGTTCCCCCTTCACCATAACCCCCACCCCCTTCCGACTACAGTACAGTAGAGCCTTCTGGCTGCCCCATCTCCCTGGGAGACAAGAGACACGTCTTCATGTCTGAGCTCCTGGCTGGATTTACGGACAATGCAGAGGGTCTCGTTAATCACCCCTGGCAACAGCTTCTGAGAAGCTCTTCTTTCAAAGCCTCCTCTTTGAGAGTTGACAGTGCCAGTTTCTTTCTGAACACAGGTCTTCTTCATCTTTCTTCCCCGACTCTACCAAACACAGCGCGCAGCGCACAGCTGCAACTTAGGAAAATGCTAAATTGGATAGAACTTGAAACGGAAATTGAACGCGTGTTTAGAGGTTGCATCAGAACATAAAAGGAAAGTGTTTATAAATCTAAATCCTTTTCTGTGGGCCCGTGGAGAGCAGAGCACTTCAAAGAAGACTGCGGCAAATCCTTTTGTAAACTGTGAGATCTCTCTCTCCTATAAATAGCCCTCACTCCTGAAGCTGGGACACACACACACATACACACACACTAATACATACACACGTATGTAAATAATACGCACATACATTACGAAGGTGATATATACCCGCTGGAGCAAACAACTCAAACAGCACAGAATAGAAGATGTAAAATATTAAGCCTTTCCCTGATTATTGCTCTCCTTTCTCTCATCTAAAACATTCACTATTAAAATTTGACAGTATCTTAGGAATTGCTTAGATTACGGATGTCTCACTGCTCAGCCTCAGATGTGACTTTGATCATTTATTTTTTAAATTACACTGAGCAGGAAATTTCAGGACACACAGAGACAGAGTCTGCCCAAAGGGTTTCTCTGTCCCCCTGTTCCATGGGAAGTGCTGGGCCCACCGCTGCTGTCTTCATCCTGAAAGGTGGGGGCTGTCAATTATATGACTGGCCTGGGACCCCACATTGGGTCAGGGCACTGCATCTTCTGGTGATTAGGTGGGGAGGCTGAGATCCCCTTCAGTGGAGCCTCTTTCTGCAAGATGCAGACCCTTCTGGGGAACTGGGTTCTAATCCTTCTCCTAACATTCTCAGGGCAGAACTTGTGGCTATTGGTGATATCCAGTGCCAACTCTCTCACCTCATTTAAGACTCATTTTTTAATAAAAACATTAAAAAGGGGCAAACAGTTTCTAAAGAGAGAAAATTCTAGAAAGGATCTTGCTATCATCCATCTTCTCTTTGCTGTAAGCAGGTATGTAGACCTTCCCCTGGGGGAGACTCTCATGAGCCTGAAGAACTTTGTACAAGAACCACACGTGTTGTCCACGGCTTGGTTATTCCAGACTGAGGAGTGAGCCCTGAGGATGTCTGGGGAGGAGGATCCCAGGCAGAGGAGCAGCAGGTGCGAGGACCCTTGAGCAGGAGCAGACCTAGCATGCTCAAGGAAAAGCAAGGAGGCCAGTGTGGTTGAAGTGAAGGGAGCAGAGGAGGGTAGTAAGAGTGGGGTCAGTGAGGGGATTGGGGTGCGGGCTCAGTAAATGCAGGGTGGCATGATTCACTGTAAGGCCTTGGGATTTTTCTCTGACTAATGAGAACACTAAAGGTTCTGAGCAGAGGAGAGACATGATCTGACACGTCTAATAGGATCACATGAGATCGCTCTGCTGAGACCCTTAGAGGAAAGGGAGGATGCAGGGAGAGCAGTAGGAGGTTACTGCTGTCATCTAGGACAGAATGACAGTGACTGGATGGGGACCAGGGCGGTAGCTGTGGATGTGGGAAGTGGTCAAGTTCCAGAAGTGTTTCAAAGGAGAACCAGCAGGTTTGCTGATAGATGTGGTACGGCATGTGGGAGGATGAAAGGGGTCCAGCGTGACTCCAGGTTTCTAGCCTGAACAACCGGGAAGATGGAGTTGCCTTAACTGAAATGAAGGAGGATCTGAGAGTATCCTCACTCACTCAAGGGACCCATAAACTCACAGGCTTATGGGTCAAGGAGCCAAGAAGGAACCAGCAAAGGAGACTGAGGAGGAGCAGCCAGGGAGATACAGGGAAACCAGAAGGAGGCTTCAGAGAGAAGTGAGGAACTGTGCCAAATGCCCGTAAGTCCAATGGTCACTGGAACTTGACCATTAACCCAGTACAGAAGTGATTGGTGACCTTTACAAGAGCAGGGGTGGTGCAGTGTGACAGAGTGAAATCTGTGTCAAGTAGAGAGAAAAGATAACGGAAGGAGAGAAATTGGAGATAGCAGGTATGGCGACTCTTTTGAGGTGTTTTATCGTAAAGGGAAACAAAAGTAACAGGAGAGCGTCAGTTTTGTTTTTGATTTTGTTGTTTTGAGACTGGAGAAATAATACAGTGTTGTACGTCGATGGGAATGATCCTGTGGAGAGCAAAATTCATGATGCAGGGAAGAGAGGAGAGGGGTGCAGGGTAATGTCCTTGAGAAACTGAGAGGGAAAGTAATCTTGTGCCCAACGGCCATAGATAGGTCACGTCGTCAGAGGGTCTCAGATCCATAAAGGATTTCCCCATGGGCCTCCTAGTACAAGTGTTCACCCTTCAAGATATTTTCCTGGGCACATACAATTTTTATGCAAAATAACAGCATGCTGTTCGTACTTTTCATCAAAGTGTTTTCTATTCAAAAATATATGATGGATAGCCTCCTGAGCCAGTGCATAGGGACCACACTCATTTTTTAATGGCTGCTTAATATTCAACAGTAGAAATATGCCATCATTTATGTAATCAATCCATTAACGAATAGATTGTCAAATTTTTGCTATTACATTTCTACAAATGATGTGGGCATCCTTGCATACATATCTCTCAGTATTTAAGAATGATCAACTCCTGGAAGTCAAATTGCTGAGACAAAGGGTATGTGCATTTTGAATTTTGATAGACACTGCCCAAACGTCCTCCATTAAGGTTACCCCAGTGAATATCCCAGCAGGATGTGAGAGGGAATGCCAACACAGGGGGGCTAGTTTGTCTTTAGACTTTCGATAGCAGACTTGCTTAAAATGCTTAAGCCTGAAAGTGTGTCAGAGCCATAATTGATAACCGCTGCCCCTCATCTCCAGGCTGCGGGTCTGTGCTCACCACAGCTCGTCTGGGGAGCTGGAGAAGCAGAGAACTGGGACAGAGAGAAGAGAGAGCAGACAACAGGGGCAGGAACGCAGATCCGGGGAGCTGTGGGCGCTCTGGGGCAGGGAGCCGGGGCTCCAGCCTGGCGCAGCGGACGACCCCTGCGGGGCGCTGGACAAGCGGCCCAGCCTCTCACTGCCCGTTCACAACCAAAGTGCCTGCTGTGCGGATCCAAGGAGGTCGCAAATATGAAAACCAGACTGTAAACGCTGAGACAGAGACAGCACCTGCCGACTTACAGTCATCCTCTTTTTTCCTTCCAACACAGCCTCCATTTTGTCAGGGATAAAAATTTCCCCTACTTAAAAACATCACAGCCCACCGCAGGCAGTCATGTGACACTGCTCTGGCCAATGAGATGGGCAACAGCACATTCCTGCCCCCCCCCCCCCCCCGCCCTCGGCACTTGGTCATGTGACACAGTTCCCACCAATGAGACGGGAGCAGGCATTCCGCAGGGCGTTCTGGGAAAGCTCCCAGAAGGGCGGGCGGCTGGCCTCATGTGGCTCACCCTCTGTCCATCCTGAAAGGGAACCTGACGCCAGAGGAGCTGCACTGTGACCGCAGAGCAGGCCTCACCGAGGACGCCGAGGGAGGTGGAGGAGGAGGCTGGGCCCACGGGCATCTTGGAGCTGCTGGGCCTGCACCGGCCCCGCCAGACACCTCATTGGGTGAGAAGAGTAACCCGGACTCGTCTCCGCCTCCACTGGTCGAGTTCCCTCCTGACTGTACGAGTCACAGTGTGCGGGTGACAGGGCACCAGAGGGACCCCAGGAAGCCTGGCCCACCCCCTCCTCACCCCTGGCAGCAGTGCGGGGGTGCCCAGGTGGCTGGGCCTCTCTGAGCCTCCGTCTCTCGTGTGTAACTAGGGCAACAGGCCCGGGGACGCCAGCCTCTTAGGGATCAGAGGAGGATGATAGGACGTAAAGCCTTTGAGGGCTTCTGTCCTGGGACGCAGGGAGGCTGGGGGCCGTCCTGATCTCTGAATGGTCAGCAGCTGACGTGGGACAACCCCCACCTGCTCTCTGGCTCTCGGTTATCTCATGTTTAAGTAGGAGAGTGGATACACCTCGCGAAGGGTGACATTGTTCAAGGGAGAGAGGGTGTCAGTGTTGATGTGTCGACTTCGGGATGGTTGATGGTTCCCGCCAGGGGTGGTGAGGTCGGCAGGTGAGGGCTCATGCAGCCCAGACCAGGGGTGTGGTGGGAGAGCGTTAGATTGGGAGCCAGGAGCCCTTCTGCGGATGGTTCTGCCTGCCTGGGAAAGCCGCTCCTCTCCTGGGCCTCAGTTTCCCCCCTATAAAATGCAGGGTTTTGGCTAGATGACCACAAAGGGCCTCATCCTCTCTCGTACTCTTGGAGTTCTGCGTTCACAGATGAACAGGGAGGCAGGCCGAGTGGCACAGGTTGGGGTCAGTTACCAATCAGGAGTGTGAAATGTGAAGAGCCCTGGCATCCTTAGAGAGAAGTCTCCAGCCAGGCCCAGATGGAGGCATCTGCCGAGACGGCATCTGCCCACTCAGGGGAGAGGGGGGAAGGGCCAGGAGGGTGATGAGAGACCCCCTTTCCTCTTTGGCCAGGGACCATGCAGGTTGCTCCGCCTGGTCTGAGTGAGAGTGAGGCTCATCCTGCAGAAAGGTCACTGCAATTCAGAAGCAGCTGGGACCAGATGGATGCTTGCTGGGAGGAGTTCTCTCTAAGTCCTTGGTCTTCCACTAAGGAGCCATGCGACCTTCATTTAAAGTCTGATGTTAGTGTAGCCACCCCTGCTGTCTTCTGGTTTACTATTTGCATGGAATATCTTTTTCTGTCCTTTCACTTTCAAACTATTTGTGCCTCTGGATCTGAAGAAAATCTCTTGTAGGCAGCATATAGTTGGGTCATACGTTTTTACCCCGTGTGCCAGGCTCTGTCTTTTGAGTCAAGGGTTTAATCCATTTACATTTAAAGTAATTACTGGTAAAGAGGAACTTAATTCTGTCATTTTGTTATTTATATTCTATATGCCTGATAGCCTTATTGTCCTTCATTTCCTAATTGCTGTCTTCTTTTGTGTTTTTTGGGTTTTTTGTAGTGAAACATTTTAATTCTTCTCACTTCATTTTGTGTATCTCTTATAGGTATTTTCTTTGTGGTTACCATGGGGACTACAGTTAACATCCTAAAGTTATAACACTATAATTTGAATGTGCCAGCTTAACTTCAATAACATACAAATCTCTTCTCTTTATAGCTCCATCCCCACCCCTTTCAGTTATTGATGTCACAAAATTACATCTTTATACATTGTGTGCCCAAAAACATAGATTAATAATTTTTATTATGAATAAAATAAATTTTGTTATGAAGTTGTCTGTTAAATCATGTACAAAACACAAAGTAGGCTTACAAACCAAAGTTACAATAATATTCTCATAGTGTGTATGCTGGTTCACTTGATGGTATCCCACAGGTTCCTTAGGGTCTGTTCATTTTTAAAAAATCCTTTTTCCTTTTGTTGCTCAGTCCCAATAATTTTCACTGTCCTGTCTTCAGATTCACTGATTCTTTCTTCTGCCTGCTCAAATTAGCTTTTGAATCCCTCCAGTGAATTTTTCATTTCAATTGTACTTTTCAGCTCCAGAATTTTTTAATTTCTTTTTATGTTTTCTACTTCTTTGTTGATGTTTCCGTTTTATTTATACCTCGTTTTCTTGAACTTCTCCACATCTGCCTTTAGTTCTTTGACCGTCTTTAAGATAGTTGAAAGTGTTTGTCTAGTAAACCTGCCATCTGCTCTTTCTCAAGAACAGTTTCTGTTTATTTTTTTCCTTCGAGTGAGCCATACTTTTGTGTTTCTTAGTACGCTTTATGGCTTTTTTGGTTGGAAACTAGACGTTTGAGTCTTAGAGTATGGTAACTCTAGAAATCAAGTTCTTCTCCCACTTTGCCAGCATTGCTGGGGGGGTTTTGTTCGATTGATTGATTTTTGTAGGCTGTCCCTGTGCCAGGGATCAGCTTGGGCTGTAAACTTGACATGAGCAAGGGCATCATTGGCTCACCACGAGATAAAAGGGCAAGCAGGTGGTGGCAGAGAGAGAACTTTCATAAGCGATAAGCTGGAAAATCAGAAGACAGTGGACTGTCATCCTAAAAAGCCCGTCTTAAGGGGAACTGATTTGGAAATGACTTACATAAGGCAAACAGGGTTGGGCAGAGGACTTAGGAGTGTCCGGTGATGGGTGACCACAGAACGCTGGGTGCTTCTCTGTAGTGGATCTGCTGAACGCAACATTCCTGAGGAATCCAAGAAAACCTCGGTTCCTTCCTCACCTGGGACAGAAGGGACAGGTTGGACAGAGGACATAGATTTTCTGCTAACAAGTCATAAGTCATTCTTTCCTCACAGTTACTGATTGGCTTGCCTATGTGCTGTTCGAAGCATTTTTCCAAAGCACATTGTGAGAATAAGATGGGGAGGGGGAGGATGTGGCCCTGGGGGCTGAAGTTCGGAGTCCTCTGTGCAGGGATGACTGCTCAAGGCTCCTGCAAGACGCTCCGTCAGGAAGAGGGCTGTCAGCAAGTTGCTCTCTTGTCGGCGGACCTCCTGCTGTTCTGCAGGGCGAGCTCAGAGACTTTGGTCACTTTGTTTCCCACGTTTATCTTGTGGGTACAGGCACAGCTTCATCCTCATCCACGGAAGCTTTAATTTCTTATTTAAGGTTTCAAATTTAAGGTCTTCTCAGACCTCGTCTGAGCCTGTGAAACTGGGGGCCCCCTTGCTTTAACTTTACTCAGCGGTCTGTTTGCAGAAGCAGTTGGATGATGCATTACTCAGGCCCACCCTAGAGGTAGCATCTCTGGCACCTGGGTCATCATGATAACGGTGCTTCTGTTTTTCAGGAACTGAGAGTGGACTCCTTGTCCACTTCAGGCCAGTTAAGACCACGAACCCATCATTGGGCCAGCACGAATGCCTGAAAGGTGACCTTTTGATGTCAGAGGGCCGAAAACTCCACCCTCAGATCCTGGTAACGCTGCCGTTTTGTGAACATGTGTCCTCTGAGGAGATGAAGAGCCGTGGAGCTTCACTGTTCCTGTGCAGATTATCAGTTGCCTCCCTTCTCACCTCCAGGCATCTATGCTCGTGCTTCAGACCACTCTGCCCATAAATAGCCCATAAACATCCCTCATCCCCATTTTCGGGGAGGTGGATTTGAGACTTGTTCTGCCACCTCCTCACTTGTCTGCCTTGTGAACAAACCCTTTCTCTCGGCCGCAACCTCGTCGTCTCAGTGATTGGCATACTGTGTAGCAGGCAAAACGAGCCTCGTCCCGTAACACCTGCACCTTCCTCTGGGCATGTGCAGTGACTTTCTAAATTCCCCTGTATGTGCATTGCTTTTGAATGTCCTCCTCCTTAAACAGCTGGGTCCTAAAAGAGAAAAAAGAGAAATTAAGGGGGAAAAAATGCACCAGCCCTTTAAGTCCCCTGGAAGTCACTTCAGCTGGAGGGGAAGGGGTTTGCAACAAGGGCTGCTCACCTCTGCGTCCGCACCTCCCCAGTCAGAAGAAGCGATCAGTGATCAGAACACAGATCCCGATATTTGGAGGACAGAGGCCTGTTGCCCACAGCTGTGTACAAGCTGCTCCAGGAACGCTTGCACTGCCCCCTGACACGGGGTCAGGGAGTGGGGGATGGGTAGCTGCTACTAAGCTAAGAGCTGAAATTAACCACAATTTACTGGCCAAGACTTCCCCTGGGAGAAGTTGCCAGCCTTTAAAAGACTCCAGACTTCCAAAGTAGTCACATCGGACAGACCCTGCCAGTACTGTTGTTATCTGGCTGAGCAGGAGGATTCCTGGTGCTTCCTACGCCACCATCTTCCCCTGAGCTGTGCGACCTCGAGACAGTCACTTAAGCCCTCTTGGTCTCTGTTGCCTTGCCTGTGAAAATGAGGGGGTTGGACCAAGGGGTTTGAAGATCCTTCTAATCCTAAAAGCCTGGGATTCTATACCGAGGACAATAGGAGCTCCAGTATCATTGGACTATTGGGAAAAGGAGATGAGATGAGCCATAATACATAACTATTTGTGTTTTTTCCCTCTATTTTGTTTCTATTAATATGTTTTACTGCCCCCCCCCAAATTCATTAAAGAACATCTGTGGGTTTTTATGGCGGAGTTCCCCTTCATTCTTTTACTAGGGAAGCTGTACCCCTCCCTACTCTCAGCCTCTGTGGCTCAGGTAGGGTTAACCTCTCTCATGGGTTGGACCCTGATTGGCCTGAGCCGGTCTGCACATCCTAACTCTCTGTGTTTTCTGATGGTACGGGGGTGGGGTGTGTCTCTTAGAGCCAGTGGCCTGGGACTTTTGATCAACTATGAAAAAGAGAACTTTTTTCTTCTCCACTGGACTGCAATCTGAATGGAACACATCCAGCCACCAGGAAGGGGGGCCCGAGAGTGGTCTTGCATAGAGGAGAGTTGCTGAAAGATGAAGAAAGAAGAAGCAGGTCCTGGGTGGCCTCGTTTGAGCCCCTGGGTCAAGCTGCTCCTGGAGGCTGCCCTGTCTCTGAGCTTCTCTGTATAACCCAATAAATCCCTCTGAGCTCAAGCCAGGGTGTACTGAGGTCCCTGTTGCAGGATGTGGAAGAGCCTGATGGCTGCCCCCCCAGCATCTAGGGCTCCTGGTACCACCCCCACCCAGCTCAGCAAGTTGCCTGGGAACCCAACTCAAGTGGACAGCCACTTATCTGAGCAGCTACTGTGTGCCAGGCACGGTGCTGAGAGCTTCCCACAGCCCCTCCCCTGTGACCCTCACAACTTCCTGTGAAGGAGGTTCGTCAGCCTCCCCCCGGAGCCCCTCCTCCACCCTCATTCTGCAGGTCACATCCCCCCCAACCCGCTAGCCTTCTCCTCTGAAAACCAGCACAGTCACACCCATTTACCCTGGAGTGAGATTTGGTTTAAGTGGGATTGTGGATCTGTTACCCAGCCCACCGACCCCATAAGACATTAACCACAGCCCCGCTCGGAACAAGCCTAACCACTCCAGGAGCTGAGAAGTTGACTTGTGAATGTAGTTCTCGCTTCTCCATTCTTTGGCCACTGAATAAAGCTTGTGCTGTTGAATGCTCAGCTTTGTTTGGATCAAATCTGTGACATGGAACAGGAAAGAATCCTCCAAGGAAGGGACAGACTGTGGGTGCGAGGCCCACCCATAGGCCCCTCCTCAGAGCTCCTCCGAGTGAGGGTGAGAGTCCCACCGGAGTGAGTGAAATCGGTAACAGAGCCAGTGCACCAACTCCTGCAAGAAGCTCCATAAATGGGGCTCTGTCTTCTCTCTCTGCTCCAGGCTCAGGCCTCTGTGTCAGCTCCATTCAGAGCAGGAGGTACGTGAGCAGCTCGCTTCCTGCCACTGGCAGGCTCTGCTTTCACTGCGCAGCCCACTGTCAGCGGGGAGCCCTGGGCCCTGGTTACCAGCTGAAACCATCTGGATCCCCTCCTCACTATACTGCCTGGTGTGTCATTCTGGCACTGCAGCCTCTCAGAGCCCCTGCCTGCCTCCCTCTGGCCATCCCCCTCCCTGTGATGAAGCCTCCCCCCCGTTTTGCTCCGTGTCTCCAGGGGCTCGTTCCTCAGGTGGTGGGGCCTGGGAGAGAAAAGGCAGAGGATAGGCTGGGGGGTGAGGTTGAGGAAAGAGTGAGACCCCTCCCCCTCTCTTCTTTGAGACAAAGCCATCAGCCCCCCAGAGAGGGTAGGAGAATGACTCAGACACCCCCTCTCCCTGTGGGGGCAGAATTGGGGTGAGGAATGGAGCAGGGACGTGCTGTCTCACCCAGGAGAGAAAATGACTCAAGATGCAGAGTTCAGTTGCACACACGGGGTCCCTCTCGTCCCATCCCAGGCTTTATTTCCTTTGTAGCTCATGCTTCAAACAGATTGTTATTCTTCTGATAAGACTAGTTCATTGAAGGGTCTTTGATGGTTATTTTACTTCTCCCAGGTATATTCCAGACAAGAAGGTCAACTCCAAGAAAGGAGATCCATTAACCAGTGCTAAGCTGCCAGTCGTTAGAGGAGGGAGCTCTAGACGGAGACGAGAAGAGGATGAAAACTCCCAGTGGGCTGCTCGTAAGGAACCCTAGGGAGAACTCGCACCCAGGCTTTGGGAGTCTTCAAAAAGGGGTAGGGGTCGGGTAGGGTTACTCCCCAGAGGCTGTGGGGATATGTTGGTGAACCGGTCTGCTTGTTCCACGGCCCCTTCAAGAGGAACATCCCCACGTGCTTGGGCGACAGGGAGGGAAGAAGCCAAATGCCATCTCAGCTTCCACTCTGCCGTGGCCCAGGGGGCGGGGCAGGAGATTCGGGTCCAGGAGAGACTGCTCTGAAGGCAGATGGGGCACTGGGAGGGAGGACAGGAAGGGGAGGAGCGATTCCCTGTGTCCCCCCTAGGAGAGCAAGGCTACAAGAGGGCAAAGGGGTCAGGTGACCACCAATGAGATTCCAAACAGTGTCTTCCAGAGAGGCCACTGAAGCCCGGTATACCCCCTGTGGTGGCCTCAGTGAGGACGGAAGGGTTAGCTGCTCCTGATGCTCAGATAGAACCCCCAGGGATGCTCCCCCCGCCCACACTGATTAATTCAGTTGGGTAAAGTGGTATTTACGCTGGAAATGTAATCATCATTTCCGATGATAATGGAATTGAAAAATAAATTGAAAGTGTCCAACACTGCATTAGGAGGGGTGATCAAGTGAGGCTGGAGGCTGAGGACCAGCCTCTTCAGTGAGCGGTTTGATAGGCTCGGGAAGCTAGGCAAGTTTCTATTTCCCTAATTGCAGGATCAAGAACCAGGAGTAATGGGACAGGAGGAGCTGGGCCAGCGGCGTGCTGGGGCCGGTTCAGACCAGCTCACAGAGCGGATGGTTATATTTTAAGGAATTGTGTCAGCCAGTTGTTAAACACGGCCACAATTAAAAATTAAATTATATAATCTTACGGCTAAATAAGTTACGTTAAAAACACGGGCAATAAACACTCAAAGCGCCTCAATTTTTAATTACTTTATAATATTTTACTATTGTGCATGCTTTTGAGATTATTTACTCGTATCGTGTCAGTATGATGGAAATCCTATATAATGGAGTGTTAATCTGCATCTCTTCCAAACTTTGTGTTTAATGACATGCCATTGGTAGTTTGAAATTGACCACGGTGGGAGGATTTACACCACGGAGATTGGCAAAGACCATAAAGTGGGGTCAGTTCCGGAGACAGGAATCATAAAAGTAATTTGAACAGGGAAAATTTACTATAAAGAATTACTAACTAGTAAAAGATGCTTAACTACTAAAAGAAGTAGAGTAGAAGTTAAAGAAAAGACAAATACGAAATGAAGGCGTAGCTGCTTCCGCCTTGAAAGCTGAGGAAGCGTGCGTGAGGAAGCAGCTATTTTGGAAGAGGGCCCCTGTCCAAGGCCAAGATTCAGGCATTGTTGGACATGGTATGCCTGGGGTCAGGTGGGTAAAGGAGAAGTTCGCTGAGGCACCATGGGCTGACAATGGCCCACAATCTGTGCGCCAAAGCTAGTAAGCAAGAAGCTCCCCTCTGGGTGATCACAAACTCACCATAAGGGGAGAGGCACTGGGCCACTTTGATGCCACCGGAAGTCATGCCATAGAAGCAAGAAGAAAAGAAAAACAGATCCTGCAGGAGAAACCGTATCCTCTTAGTTTTTTTTTTGCAATTTTTTTTTTGTTGCAGTGAAATATGCATAACATAAAATTTACCGTCTTAACCATTTTTAAGTATACAATGCAGTGATATTAAATGCATTCATAGTGTTGTGCAATTATTACCACCATCCATCTCTTTAGCTCTTTTCATCTTGTAAAACTGAAACTCTATGCCTATTAATAGCTCTCCATTTTCCCCTGGCCCAGCCCCTAGAGACCCCCATTCTATTTTGTCTCATATAAATGTAAGCACACAGTATTTACCTTTTTGTGACCGGCTTACCTCGCTTACATTAGGTCCTCAAGATTCATCCATGTTGTATCATATGTCAGAATTTCCTCACTTCTTAAGGCTGAATAATGTCCCCTTTATGTCTGTACCACATTTTGCTTGTCCTTTCATCTGTTGATGGGTACGTGGGTCGCCTCCATGTTTTAGGTACTGTGAATAACGCTGCTGTGAACGTGAGTGTACAGATATCCCTTCGAGACCCTGCGTTCAATTCTTTGGGGTCTATTCCCAGAAGTAGAATTGCTGGATCCTGTGGTAATCCTATTTTTAACTTTCTGAGGATCCTCCAAACTGTTTTCTGTAGCATCTGCACCATTTTACATTTCTACTAACAGTGCACAAAGGTTTCGGTTTCTCCTCATCCTCACCAATACTTATTTTCTGTTTTTTTAATAGCAGCCACCCTAGTGGGTGTGAAGTGATAGCTCACTTTAGTTTTGATTTGCATTTCCCTAATGGTCCGTGATGTGAGCATCTTTTCATGTGCTTATTGGCCATTTGTGTATCTTCTTTGGAGAAATGTCTGTTCAAGTCCTTTGCCCATTTTCGAATAGGATTGTTTGGGTTTTTGCTGTTGAATTTTAGGAGTCCTCCATATATTCTGGGTATTAACCCCTTATCAGATGCATGAGTTGCAAATATTTTCTTCCATTCTGTGGGTTGTCTTTTTACTCTACTGATCTTATCTTTTGATGCACAAATTTTTTTAATTTTCACAAAATCCAGTTTATCTATTTTTGCTTTCATTGACTGTGCCTTTGGTGTCACATCCAAGAAATCTTTGCCAAAGCAAATGTCATGAAGCATTTGCCCTTTGTGTGCTTCTAAGTTTTATAGTTTCAGCTTTTACATTTAAGTCTTTGATCCATTTTGAGTTAATTTTTGTATATGATGTCAGGTAAAGGCCCAACTTCATTCTTTTGCATGTAGATATCCAGTTTTTCCAGCACCATTCGTTGAAAAGAGCGTTTTCCGCCATTGAGTGGTCTTGGCACCTTTGTCAAAAATCAGTTGACCATATATGTGAGGGTTTATTTCTGGGCTCTCTATTCCTTTGGTCTACATGTCTGTCTTCTTCATGCCACGTTATTCTGATTACTGTAGCTTTGTCATAAGTTTTGAAATCAGGAAGTGTGAGTCCTCCAGTTTAGTCCTTTTTTTCAAGATTATTTTGGCTATTTGGGATCCCTTGAGATTCCATATGAATCTCAGGTTGGATTTTTCTATTTCTGAAAAAACCTTCATTGGGATTTTGAATGTGTACATCACTTTGGGTTGTATTGATATCTTAAGTCTTCCAATTCATGACTGTGGACTGTGTTTTCATTTACTTGTGTCTTCTTTCATCTCTTTCAGCAATGTTTTGTAGTTTTTATTGTACAAGTCTTTCACCTCCTTGGTTAAGTTCATTTGTAAGTATTTATTCTTTTAGATGCTATTGTAAATGGAATTGTTTCTGTAATTTCTTTTTTTCAGATTGTTCATTGCTAGTATATAAAAATACACCTGATTTTTGTGTGTTGACTTCAGATCCTGCTACTTTACTGTATTTATTTATTACCTCTAACAGTTTTTTTGTGGAATCTTTAAAATTTTCTACATATAAGATCATATCTGCAGGATGCCTCATTTCTTTTTCTTGCCTAATTGCTCTGGCTCTAACTTCCAGTGCCACATTCAATAGAAGTGGCACAAGTGGGCATCCTTGCCTTGTTCCTGACCTTAGAGGAAAAGCTTTCAGTGTTTTACCATTGAGTATGATGTTTGCTCTGGGTTGTTTCATCTATGGCTCTTTTTATGTTGAGGTAGTTTCCTTCTGTTTCTGCCTTGTTGACTGTTTTTAACATGAAAGGGTATTGAATCTTGTCAAATGATTTTTCTGCAACAATTGAAGTGATCATGGTTTTTCCCCTTCATTCTGTTAACACAGCGTGTCACATTGGTCAATTTTCATAAGCTGAACCATCCTCACATTCCAGGAATAAATCCCACTTGGTCATGGTGTATAATCCATTAATATTTACTGCTGAACTTGGTTTGCAGGTATTTTGTTGAGGATTTTTATGTCAATCTTCATAAGGGATATTGGTCTGTACTTCTGTCGTAGTGTCTTTACCTGGCCTTTGGTTCCAAGATAATGCTGGCCTCAAAAATGAGTTAAAAAGTGTTCCCTCCTCTTCAGTTTTTTGGAAAAGTTTGAAGAGAATTGGTATTCGTTTCTTTAAGTGTTTGGTAGAATTCACCAGTGAAGCCATCAGGTCTGGGGCTTTTCTTTTCTGGGAGATTTTTGGTTACTGATTCAGTCTCCTTACTAGTTATTGGTTAATTCAGATTTTCTATTTCTTCATCATTTGGACTTGGTAGGTTTTGTGTTTCTAGGGATCTGTCAATTTCATCTAGGTTATCCAATTTTTGCATACAATTGTTTTAGCACTCTCTTATAATCCTCTTTATTTCTATAGAGTTTTAGTAATGGAACCATTTTTGTTTCTGATTTCAGTAATCAGAATCTTCTTTCTTTTTTGTTAGTCCATCTAGCTAAAAGTTTATCAATTTTGCTGATCTTTTCAAAGAAGCAACTTTTGGTTTCATTGATTTCCTCTATTGTTTTTCTATTCTCTATGTCGTTTATCTCTGCTCTAATCTATTATTTCCTTCCTTCTGCTAGTTGTAGCTTTAGTTTGTTCTCTTTTTATAGTTCTTTAAGTTGTAAAGTTAGGTTTTTTTATTTGAGATCTTTCTTAGTTTTTGCACATTTATAGCTATAACTTTCCCCCTTAGCACTGCTTTTGCTGTATCCGATATGTTTTGGTATGTTGTGTTTTCATTTTCATTTGTCTCTAAGTATTTCCTAATTTCCCTTGTGATTTCTTCATTGATCCATTGGTCATTTCAGGGTGTGTTGTTTAATTTCCACAGATTTGTATTTTCCTGTTTTACTTCAATTATTGATTTCTAACTTCATCTAGTTATGGCCAGAGAAGATACTTTGTATGATATCTATCTTTTAAATCTATTGAGATCTAATTTGTGGCCCAACATATGGTCTGTCCTGGAAAGTGTCACATGTGCACTTGAGAAGAATGTGTCTGCTGCTGTTGTTGGATAGACTGTTCTGTATGTGTCTGTTAGATCTGATTGGTCTATTGTGTTAAGTTCTTTGTTTCTTTACTAATCTTCTGTCTGGTTGTTCCCTCTCCATTATTGAGGGTGGGTATTGAAGTCCCCAACTGTTGTTTGTAGAACTATCTATTTCTCCCTTCAATTCTGTCAGTTTGTGCTTCATATATTTTCAGTGGTCTGTCATTAGATGTGTAAATGTTTGTAATTGTCATAACATCTTGCCATATTGAAACTTTTATTAATATATAATGTCCTTCTTTGTCTCTTGTAAGCTTTTTTAATTCAGAGTCTATTTTGTCTGATATAAGTATAGCCCCGCGGCTCTCTTTTGGTTACTATTTGCATGGAATATCTCTTGCTGTCCTTTCACTTTCAGTCCATTCTCTTTTACAGCCTTGCAGGATCTCCCCAGCACCCGCAACTGACAAGGTCTAACACTGCAGCATGTGGCACAGGAGACGTGTGCAGGGTCCAGCTTCAGTACCACAATGCAGGACAAAGAGGAGTGAAATCTGAACCGAGAGGCAATAAATTGATAATGAGCACAGTCCCCTAATTTTCAGAGCATTAATAGAGAGGTCTTTTCTAAAGATGCTGAGTGTTGGAAGTGGGAAAAAGTCCAGGGCCTTATCTGATGCCAGAATCCTTTCAATAAAAATAAAATGTTGATAGTAAAAGCAACATCACCTCTCAGGCCGGTATTGTGTATATGTAATACAAATATTAGTTCATTTAATCTCCACAATAACCCAGTGAGGTAGATAGTGTTATTTCCCCCATTTTACAAATGAGAAAATGGTGAGTGAGGGAGGTGAAATAGTTTGTTCTGAAAGAACACAGCAGCTGTCATTCAAACCCATGCTGCCCTGATATTGCGCCTTCTAGGAAATAGTGCCTAATTACTACGTGCACACCTGTAAGGAGAGGGAGCCGATCATCGCCTGAGGTCTCCCATACCATCTCTGAACATCTTTGACTGCTGAGACTCTCTTTCTTCAGCCCACGTTGAGGGTGTGTACTCTTCCACGCGTCAGCCCTTTTGGATATGCAGATACTTGTTTGATCTCTTTAGGGTTTTTCCTTCTCCCGGTTCAGCAGCTCTCCTTCCTTCTGCATTTCCCATCATGCTCTTCTGACCAAGCTCAAGTTTTCTCTCTGCCTTTTGTTGACGAAAATAATCCATAACCAATCTATAAATGAAAATTTGGGAGAGTTTATTCTGAGCTGAAATCTGAGGACCACGGTCCGGGGCCTTTCTTCCCAAAGGAGGAAAGGGCACCGAAGAAGTGGGGTGCACAGAGTGGTCATATACCCACATACAGGACATTTCACATGTGATTGAAATGTCCCTTTTACGATAGTCGCGAGACTGCTCTGTCGGCACAGCAATTGATGGAAACAGGAGGTAGGTCTGCTGTCTTGGTGAACAGAGCAGGGTGGCAGGTCTGCTGTCTCAAGCTGGGTGGTCACAGGTGAGAGCAGCAATCAGTTCCTAGCCTAAGGAAAGATGCTTAATCCTTAAGGAAATGACAATGTTGGGAGGGGGAGGAAAGTTGCACCTTTATCTCAAGGGCCTTTGTTCTGGCCATAGGAAATGTTTTAAAGCAGATATACAAGGTGTGCTCAACAGCCACAGTCAGGCCCTTTTGGAAAAAACAAAGTCAGGCCGAATTAGGTTTATACCAAATGGCTTCCTCATATACTGCAATATATACTATTGCTTGCCATTTTTATTTGTCACTTTTATATTGTCATGCAAGGTGGGTGCAGCTCTCCAACCATGGTCTTCCCAGGGCAGGGCCCCACTGCCCGCCTCTGCCTATCCCAAGGATCTAACAAAGCAGGTCAGATAATTTCTCTGAGCCTTGGTTTTCCTTTTCTGTACTTCTGGGTCAAAAATGTCTGTCTAACTGAGTTTCTCGGGGGCGGGGTGCTGGCTCTAGAAAATAACGTATAGGAAAGTGCCTAGCACAGTGTTTGACTCAATAAAGATTGGAAGAAACTAGATCTAGTCCACTGATACATGGAGAAAACCTGGGAATTATTCTCAGTGCAACCGTGTGCCAGAGCACGAGCTAGACTCCAGGTTTCCTGATAACCAAGCACGACGTCTCCTCACATTTCAGAGGCAAAAACCAGCTTCTCTCCTCTTGGAATCAACAGTGAGCCACATCCCATGAAGGTGGCCGTGTGCCCTTTCTCAAGCATCAGAGGTACCAGAATTAGTCAGGGGCACCGTTCACAGAGCCGGCCGTGGTGCCAGGATCAGCCCTTTTCCTTCTGCCTCCTTTTCTCCTCTCCCTCCCTCCCTCTGTGATGATTGCACATCCTACAAGAGTTAAGCACATTTGCAGAGAGTTCCCAATGGCTGGCGGGTCCCTCTGAGGACCATTGTGCATTCCCTGTAATGGCGCTCATTAGTCTGTCTGACATCAACACTATTCTCAGGTTAATATGTTTAATTTAATGAGGCATTTATTTTCAGTTAGAAAACTCCTGAAGAAGCATGTTTTCTCCTGATGAGTTCAGCTGATGAATAGATTAATGCTGGCCTTGAAATAGTTGATTAAGAAAATGAATCCAGCCGGCTTCTTCTTCCCTAGAGAGGCTGTGCTTAAATTGAGTTGTGTTGAGCTGTCCATTTCTTAGGGGAGGAAACAGGAAGGAAACCTTCGCTCGGCTCTTAGATCTGTCCTTCATTTACTCGTTTGTTTCCCGCCCCACTTCTCCTACCCGCACTCCAAAATCCAAGGATGTAAAAAGGCCAAGGACGAGGGTGTGACGAGGGGAGAAAGAACGCTCACAATTGCGCAGCCCGAGAACACGACAGAGAAGCTCTTGCGTGGTGGCAGAGGACAGAGATGTGTGCACACAAGCTGGCCTGCCCCGTTTGCTCCTATAGCACCAGTATCCTGCACCTAGTGGGCACCTGATAGATATTAGTTGAATGAGTAACGGAGATGCTGAATGGATGGTGGCGCTTACTGTTACTCACAGAATCACATGATCGCAAGATGCCTGCTATCCCAGACACATCTAGCTGGTAACCTGTGTTCGTGACTCCTGGCCCCAGAGTGGAAGATAACCCAAAGGCCAATTTTCTTTAATGATTTGACCAGTAGCTACCCACGTGTCACTCTCTCCGTGGGCACTTAAGCCTCTGCCACCCGTGAGAGACGACAGCTGGACTGGGCATTCCTTCTTCCCAGAAAGGAGGTGCAGGCCACCCCAGGCCAATGCCTGCCTCTGCCTGAAAGTCAGAGAAAACAGAGGGCTTTCCGTTCCCACCCTGGCTGCTCAGTCATCATAATTCCCTCTGCGGGCAAGCCTGGGCCTGAATGGACATGAGGGCAGTGTGGGGTGGACGGCGGGGGTGCCTGCAGTAGAGTATGGGCTGTACAGGAGGGGGGCCGAGGTTAACGGGCAGTTCTCCCACTCGACGACTCTGTCCATTTTCTGTGCCACGTAACAAACCGCCACAAACCCAGTGCCTTAAAACCACAGCTGCTTATTACCTCAGGGCTTCTCAGCTCAGAAGTCAGGCACAGCTGGCCAGGTTTTCTGCTCAGGGTCTCACAAGCTGAAATCAGGGTGGCCTGCAGGCTCTGTTCTCCTCCGCAGGCTCGGCCAGGGAGGGGTCTGCTTCCAAGTTCCTTCAGGTGGTTGGCAGAATTTACTTCGTGTGGCTGTAAAGTGCACGGCAGCCTGCTTCTTCAACCAGCAAGGAAGAGTCTCTGCTGCTTCCGCATCTGACCACTGATCTTCTTTAAAGGGCTCACCTGGTTAGACCTGGCCCACCCAGTATAACCTCCCCTCCAAGTAACTTAAAGTCAACTGATTGTGGACCTTAACTAAATCTGCAAAATCCCTTCACCTTTGTCACATTCTATTGGTAAAGCAAGTTACACATCCTGTCCACACTCAAGGAGAACGAAGTATACAAGAGTCATCTTAGAATTGGACGGCATCTTAGAATTCTGCCTACCTTACCACCTGAAAGACTGCAGGCAACTCTCTTTACGCTGAAGTTACTTTTCCTTAGTTGTAAGTGGCAATAGCATTGCTTTATTTAGGATTTGTAAAACAATGAAATGGAATAGCGTACATAAGTGGAGAGCAGAGAGGGCACTCAGGAACTGTGTGTTAAATTGGACTGAAAGATGGAAAAAGTGATGTCAGTAGGATCATCTGGAATTTTACCTTCTACCCTCCTCAAAACTATCTTCTTCAATTGGTGCTAGTCCGTTATCTGACTCTATGAGATTCCAAACTGGGTCTTCATTCTGGAACTCTCCTGCCTTCCCGTCCCAGATCACCCACATTTCTGGTGGTCCATCCTACTGGCTGTATCTGCTCCATCAGGGACCTGACAGCCAGCTTATTTGATATCTTGTATAATAACCTCATCATGGCTCCTGAATGCTCCCTTTTACCGAATTTACCCAGCACCTATTAAGTGAATGCCTCTGCTAGGTCTCTCCACCACACTGGAAAGCCAGCCTGATCATTTATCCCCCATTCGTCAAACGGAGATGTCACAGCTGAAGGGAGGCAGCTGAGCATTGGTACCTTTGACGCTGCACCACCTCTGACCTGGAGTGGATGTGGCTTCAGGCCCTCGGCAGGAAGGACCAAGTCCATCAGGCCACCCATTACCACCTGGAGAGTCCTGAAGATCTTTGTGCTACTGTCCTGTCTCCCAAAGTGCCTGCCATCTGCAGTTTCCAAGACTCTGGGGGAACAGCAGGGCAGGAAAGAAGATTGATTCTAGCAGGAAGGGTGGGATTTTCCAAAGCCAGTTGTGTCCTCGTCCCCTTGGCGTCAAGTATACAGGCTTGGGCCCTCCCCTGGGTCGTCCTCAGCACCTCGGACAGTAACCACACAGCCTGGTTCTTCACTCAGTTTGTGTGTCTTGGCTTCCATGACTTTTAAGACTAGTAGACGTGTACGGGGGAGAGAAAGCTCAAAGATCGCTTGGTTCAGCAGTGCCACTCCTCCTTGTCTAGGTTAAGAAGTCCCAGGAGAGTTAAAGTGAGAAGTGACTAGAAGTGAATCTGCTCTGTGACCTTGAATCACTTCCCTTCCCTGGGCTGCGCGCTAAATCTGATGATTCTAGGATGCTTGGTTTGAGGGGAAGATGTGGCAACATCTGTGAGCTCCACAGCCAAAACCGTGACCCTAATTGGGGGAAGGGCCATAGAGGCCATGAATCTGATGACCTCCAATTATATTCCTGCCTTCTCTGCATTTCACTCTCTCGTTCTCCTATGTAGCAGCAATTTTATAAAAGACTCATCCATGTATGGCTATGTTGATCAACACCAAACTAATTAAAGAGATTTTGATAAGAGTTTCTATATCAAGAGCCTCACAAAACACTGGAAAGTCTTCCAAGTCACGGAAGCAGCTCCCAGATTTAGAGAATATTCCAGATGGAAAGCTTTTCACAATTGTTCCATCCGACTTTTTCTATTCAACAGATGAGTGTTATATTTGTTCAGTCTGTTGTTTCTTCTTTCCTCTTTCTCTGATGCCTCTTGAGTCAATTGATCATTTATTATCATTCCATTTTATCTTGCCCATTAACTTATTATTTATACTTTTTATTATATTTTAGTGGTTTTCTTAGGGCTTGCAATATACATCCTTAAAGAGAGTCTACCTTCAAATAATAT